ATCCAGTGTCAGAGGGCTGATCCATGCACAACACATACCCCTTCCCCCTTCATTCTAGCAGATCTCCTTGACCCTTGAATGTGCTTTATTTTTTTTTTATAACATGGTACATTTTAAAGAACCTAAAGTAGCAGAACTTTTTTTCTTTTTCTTTTTTTATTAGTGAAACACCATGAGGTACAGTTGTAGATTTACAATTTTTTGTGCTTGGGTTTCGATTATACAATGATCAGATACCCATCCCTCCACCAGTGCCCATTTTCCACCACCATGAATAATATCCCCCCACCCCCATACCCCCATACCCCCCTGCCTCTGTGGCAGGGCAATCCCCTGTGTTCTCTCTCTCCTTTTGGGTGTTGTGGTCTGCACAAGAGGCATTGAGTGGCAGACATGTTCAGTCCATAGTCTACTTTCGACATGCATCTCCCCTCCTGGGAGGATCCTCCAAACACCCTTTATTTGGTGCTCCCTTCTCTATCTAAACTGCCCTTTCCTCTAGGATACCCGGCTGGCCTCTAAGTTATGGAGTAATGCTCCTGGTGCTGATCTCAGCTATTCTTGGGTATTAATCTCATATTTAGTAGCAGAACTTCTTAGGAAAAGAAGTAAGTATATTTCCCACTTTACATAACAAGTAAAGTGCATTACTCTCAGACCTCATGAACTTGCAACTAAACATACTCAGAGAATAAAGATATAATTTCGAATCCAAATTTTAAAATATTAAATATGAAAGAAGACAAACACAAAAGAAATAACACTTTTAACAAGATATTATATTTGTGAATATATAACAATAGTCATGACTTAAAATTTGAGTTCTTAAAAAGCAGAATTTTTCCTTCCCTCCAGATAAGTAATATATACTGAAAAGAAATTATGTCTCAATCACCCATGGATTTGTAGCATAGAATCAAATTCTAGTCTGGCAAGGAAAAACCAAATATACATATATGTATTACTCCATATGTTAACATATTTATTTAAAACAAAACAAGCTCATGAAATATTTTTGTCTTGTATTGAAAAGTAATCTTCTGAAGAGCATTAAATACAGGGGAAAAAATGTTAAAGCCAGTACTTTTCAGTCTGTAAAAATTCTGAACCTATGCAGATTTATAAACTAAAATCCTAACTTGTTTTGCAGCCTTTGTGAAGTTTGATTATAATGATTAAATACTGTTGGTTTTAAAGAACAATGAAAACCTTCCAGATTGCCACCACACAGCACAGTTAATGCATTTCTTCTAGATGTAGTCTCGGGAGAGGGTTTCAGTTTACAATTAATACTGCTCTGAAGATCAAGGAGCACGTTTGCCTTTAAGCAAGTCCTAGTGATAATCATGATATTTTGCCCTTTCCTTCATGGCGTGAATTTTATTTTTGAATAGGCTTTTGTAAATGAAATGATCATTTAAAAGTCTTCTTATATCTCGGGCTATCTCTTTGAGAGATTTGCTTTCTCTGACTTTGAAATGCAGTGAAACCTTTAGAGAAAACAACTCTCCAATAGATTTTAGATAGACCCGGATCACATCTTGGCCCCTGAAATCTAACAACTGTCCAATAAAGTGTGTTGTGGTACCCTTTACCTTTAAGGCCAACAGACTCATCTCAATTCCACTTAACGTCATCATGCCCATAAAAAAATTCCTATTTTCCATGTTTATATAATTGGTAAAGGTAAAGGTAAAGGCCCTCCCGTTGATCATCGATTTGCTCGAGCGGGCCCAGTAACGTCTCCATTGGAGACTTTGTTGTTACTGTGTTTGGCATATCGAATACTCTCGGTAGCTAGCCGGGATCTCCGAGAGGGGCGGAGGAATCGAACTCGGGTCGGCCATGTTGGCCGCTTGTAAGGCGACCGCCCTACCGCTGTGCTATCGCTCCAGGATGGCCGAGTGGTCTGTCTAAGGCGCCAGACTCAAGCTCCGCTTCCCCAGCCCGGGGATTCTGGTCTCCGAATGGAGGCGTGGGTTCGAATCCCACTTCTGACACATATATAATTGACTGCTGGGTAATATGTGCAATCTTAGCATTGTTCTTTAAGAGTAAATCAGATGCTACTTCTTTATGAGGAGGGACTATTATATTCACTTACTTCACCATGTCCTAGTCAAAAGATTTCATAAGAAGCTTCAGTCTAGAAGTGTAATGGCAATAGGGTATAAAGGGAGATCGATATTAATCAAACCCAAGAGAGGGAAACTCTCCCTTTAAAAGTTCCCTTTTAGGAGTGAGCAACCTTAAGAGAGCATCTCCATGATGATGGACACTTTCCTTCTCAAAGAAGGGAATCCTTCCTTCTCAGCCAGGAAATCAAAGGAAGGCTTTCAGAGGCCTGCTCAGAGGCAGAGTTAAAATTGCAGAGCCTGGTTTTTGAAATCTAAGCTTTGAACTTAAGTTTTTCAAGGTAGGATCTGTGTTCCTCTCAAGATGTACCTCCATCCCTCCATGAGACAACTTGGAGGGCCCTCCTGCCTTTCACTTAATTCCTGCCCTTGACTGAAGGTACAGTAAGTGAATCCTTTGTGAAATCATTTTGGAAGTAGTGAAAATGATTCCAAGCACCCAAGTCTGCTGAAGGTAGGATAGAGTTACATACCACCAGGTTACCTTTTGCTCTGGGAAATTAAATCAGAGACAGTTTTCTAATTAATTTAATTAACCTTGTGATGGCAAAAGTATATAAAATAAGGAAAGGCATCACTGTTAGGCAACTAGGAACTCAGCCTAGGAGTTCCAACACATTGAGGCCCAAATCCCACATCTGCTGTTTGCCAGCTTTTGGTGTGGCCTTGAGTTCTTTACCTCACTTATCTAAGACTTAGCGGCTCATATGCAAAGAAGAGAATAATACCGGTCTCTATCAGCACTTAATGCTTATAATCATTATTATTTGTTATTGTCTAAATAATAAAAAGACTGTTGTGATGCTTAACTCATGCAGGATTAAGCTCAGTGCGTAGGCTACTTTAAGTGCTCAGAAAATCCTAAACTAATGAGGTCAATATATGGGAGAGTACTGGAAGCTCAGGGAGATATTTGATAAGAGATCTTGTCATTTTTGAACGCCCCCTCTTATTTCTTTATCCAACTTGATTTCCATCTCTTTCTACCAGACACATTTGTCTATCAGTCACGGAAGAGTTGTAACAGGCAGTTTTGTTATTATTGTACCCAGAACCTACTGACTTCTAACTCAGGTAACAAAGAATGAAATAAAAAATTCACAAATAAAAAACAACTTATGTTGGACCAGGTTGCCTGTATTTTTGTGTTGTATAACCACAGGATGAATTTTCTCTGTGAAAGAGTGTGTGCTAAATATTCTTTATCCTGAAAGATGTAGAATATGTTTTTATTGAGTTATGTAATGAATGCATTGGTGTATTTGAGGATTGGAGTAGGTGTGATAAACATAGAATTACCTTAATGGTAAAACTTGATTCAAAAAGGAAATAAATGTGTACTAGAAAAATCTTCTAATGAAAACAATGAATTAAATTCTCGAGGTAGTAAGAAATAAATTCACATAAGATCTGATGAGTGTGAAATTAGCATTAATAATGTACATTTTTATAAATTGTTTCAGTGTCTTACTTTTCATCTCAGAGATAAACACTGATAATTTCTGTCATCTTTTTTTCTCCACTTCTGGTGAAGTGATGACAGAAAATTGGGGCAAGAAACAGAAAATTAGTTATGACTTCAAATGATAGTTTGATTGAGTTTGAATCCTTATTTATTGGGGCTGGGGAGGATAGACTATATTCATTAGTACTCAGAACTTACTCCTCCTGGTTCTTTGTTCAGAGATCACTTCTGGTGGATTTGGGGAACCATATGTGTTGCCAGGAATTGATCCAGGGTCAGCTACGTTCTAGACAAGTACCCCCACCTGCTGTGCTATCTCTCTGGCTCCAAATCCTTATATGTTCTTATAGTGAGATTTGCTTTTGAATAAAAATATATGTGGATGTGCCTTATACAATAGTATATTAATATTAATTTTATAACATCAATTGCAGAATGAAAAGTCTTTATCATTTAAGACTGAGTTTCTGAGCCAGAGAAATAGTTCAGCCATAGGGAGTTTGCTTTGAATGTGGCTGACCCAGGTTCAATCCCAATCATGCCATATGGTCCCCTGAGCCTGCCAGGAGTAAGCCCTAAGTACTGCTGGGTGTGCCCCCACCGCCCAAAAAATACTGAATTTCTTGAACTATAGGATGTTCAAGAATACTATGGGGTCAAGAAAGTTCTTAAAATTTTATTTCAAATCTAATATTTATTATCAGAAAATGTTTGATGTATATACCTATTTTATATGTAGATAGACTTGGAGTTGCACTAACATTTCTTGAACATAAAAGAATGTAAGTAGAAAAAGTTTCTGATTTAAGAAACATTAATTTTTGAAAATATTAGTTTATGTAATATGAACACCTGGGAGTAAAAATTTACAGAGGGTAGGGTGTTTGCCTTGCAAGTGGCCAACATGGCCGACCCGAGTTCAATTCCTCCGCCTCTCTCAGAGAACCTAGCAAGCCACTGAGAGTATCTCGCCCACACAGTAAAGCCTGGCAAGCTACCTGTGATGTCTTTGATATGCCAAACACAGTAACACTTGTCACAATGGAGACGTTACTGGGCCCGCTGGAGCAAATCGATGAACAATGGGAGGACAGTGACAGTGACATAAATAAAAGCAGAATAGTTACTTAAAAGCACTTCATACATTTCAGGGGAGAGTTTTCTGGGGAAGAGTTTAGGCGAGGTTGGTTAACACATCATTGTACATCACACAGTGAAAAATGGGACCAAGAATCTATTAAAATAATGAAGATGAAACAAATGAGAAAGATATCATTAAGACAAGCTTAATACTTCACTTGCCAGCCAGAATATTCCTTTTGAAAACTGTCTCTTGGTGCAGTACTTATAAATAAATAATGTGGGATAGAAATGACATGATTTCCTTTTTCATTTGGCAGAAAGCGGAAGCCACTGGAGAAAAACGGCCAAGAGGCAGACCTAGGAAATGGGTGAGCAATAAGAGAGTGATTTCTCTTTTCTTCTTTTTGCACAGAAAAATTTGGTTTTTAACTGAAATTGTTTTTATTATATTGATGACATGGATTCCTGGTTTAGTGAATCTTTGAAAGGGTTAAGGTAAACGACATGGTATCAACACTCCTTACCAGTGGACTCCAAGATTTGACTCAGAACTTTCTTTCCTGGGAGTGACCCCTTTTTCTTTCTCTTATCAACATGAAAAGAGTCTCCATTCTCCCTTCTGATGGAGTAACAATGAGATAACTTGTTCAGTGGATTGAGTAACTAAGGTTAAAGGGTATTATGAAACCTTGGATGCTGATTACAAATAGTGATAAAATTTGGATGAAATGTGTATGAGGTAATTTTTTAAATAACCAACCTACCTTCCTTCCTTCCTTTTCTCTCTCTCTTTCCCTTCCTCCCCCTCTCTGTCCTTCCTTCTCCTTCTTGTCATGTCTTTGTTAGACCATCTCATTTATTATGTGACTTGCGATAGTTTTATTTCCGCATTGAATTTGTTAGCAAAACAGGTTTTAATGTTTGGTTTTTCTTCCCGTCATAATCAGCCAGTGGCATCATGCAAGTGTGCCGACCCGTTAAGAACACAGATCTTGTGTCTTTTTGAGGCTAGAAAATTAGTGATTACTGAACAGTTTTGCTATTGTAACCTCTTGAACGTAACACCCATTTTCAACTGGCCTGTTTCTCCACTGTCAGAGGAGAAAATTCTTAAAAATTAATAAACAGGGGCTGGAGCAATAGCACGGCGGGTAGGGTATTTGCCTTGCATGTGGCCAACCTGAGGTTCGATTCCCAGCATCCCATGTGTTCCCCTGAGCACTACCAGGAGTAATTCCTGAGTGTATCGCCAGGTGTGACCAAAAAAAGCAAAACAAACAAACAAATTAATAAACAATTTTCATAAAAGATGAAGTTATTCCCTCTGCTCAGAATTGGAATCTTTGGTGATCTTTTTCTCTTTTCCTGGTTTATTCTTCATGCCCCATTTAAAAAAAAAAAGGTTCTTGGTTGCAGTGCTGTGTTTTTTCCTGTAAGTTTCCCCTTCCTTTCTGCTCTAGAATTCTGGACCACTTTCTACTTATAATTTGGTACTGCCTTTCATTGAATTTATCCATGTTCTTTCCCCTCTGCTCCACGTGTGTTGGGGTTAGATTACTTAGCATATGAAATGGTGGTAATCTTTAGCTTAGAAACATCTTGGTGTTACAAAGTGTTGAAATAAGAACATTTTATTTGGTCTTTTAGTTAATAAATGAATGTTTTCCCATCAAGGTGGTGATCATCTCTCCATATTTCTCAGTTGGTGACCAGATGGACCTCTGTGGTCCCGAGGGTATCCCAAGGGACCACAGTTAACTGGCAAGGGGCGGAGAGGTGAGACAGCATGAAGGCCAACCCGTAGGATGGGAGTGAGTGGTCAGTGGGAGATACAGCTCAGAAAAGGTTTAAGAAACGCTAACTAGACTATGACTAGACTATGATGGATTGACCTTTATTTTTGGGACATAGCTACCTTTAAGGCTGTTTTTCCTTTCCTAGCTAGCTCTGAACATTAGGAAATTCTCCCATGTGACCCCTTGAGCTTCCTTTCACTCTCCTTAGCCTCTTCCTCCTGTGAATATAATAATTGTTTTCACTTTTGCTCATGAGAGCCATTGAAATATTTTAAAACAGTGAGCACATGGCCTTTGTACAGTTTTTCTATTTTGAGTACCTCTAGTCCTTTCAAAAATTTCCTATAAAGAGATATTATTTGAGGGCTGGAGCGATAGTACAGAAGGTAAGGTGCTATAACTGCAAACTTGGTCCAGATCCCCACTCCCACATACAGACCCAAAGCATTGCCAGGCCTGGTTCCTGAGAACCACCAGGTCTGCCCCCAAATAGAAACATTCTTATTCTTCTTTTGTATGTGTTTTTTTCTTAGTCTTCTAAAGTATGACATTCAGAATTCAGCATCTTTTCCAGATATGGGTTCCAGAATCTAGGTTTATGGTTCTGGTTATCTATTGCTAATTAAGTAACCTTGCCACAAAGAATAAAATTAGATCTAAACCATGGAAACCTTTTAATAATGCATTTGGATTCTTGAATCAGAACCATGAATAGGGTGTGTTAGAAAGGTGTCTGTGCTTCAACATGTCTGGGGTCTCACCTGGCAAGACTTAAGCTATTGGGTGTGATTCTAGTGCTTGGGGTGTAGAATCTAGAAGCTTATTCACTTATAAGCCTGCTGTGCACTTTTGGGAATGGCTTGAAGTCTTAGAGCATCAGGGAGTGTCCATTGGAGCACCCGTATGTGGCCTTCCTAGCTCAGTGGTCTTGGGAGAGTTAGTCTTCTTACATGCACTCAAGACTCCCAGAGAAACTGTTCTGACAAATGGGGAGAAAGCACCAAGTGCTTTTACGATGGCTTAGAAATAAGAATGTCTGACTCTTTTATACTCTAGAGTGCATTCTCATAGTATGACTTTATTTGACCTTTACTTGACTTTGCTCAGAATATTAGTGGCTCTGTGCTCAGGGATCACTCCTGGTGCTGTTCCAGAGATCATATGCGATGCTGGGGATTGAACCAAGTCAACCTTCTGCAAGATAAATAAGCATCTTACCCCTATACTATCTCTCGGACCCTGAGGCCTCCTGATTTCTAAGCATCAGGGCTTTGAGATGACATTAGATACCACTAATCAGAGCCTATGCCAAATAAAAAAGAAAGACCTGTACAAAAATTTTAACAGGTGAATAAGAGAAAATTAATAAACACTTGGAAGTAATGACGTGATGGAAGTTAACCAATTCAACTTTACTAACATAAAAGTACTCTATAGTAAAATATTGTTACTGTAATCACTATGCTCTAAATCAGTTCCTCAGAACTTACATGTAACTGCATATCTGTACCCTTTGATCAACACCTTCCTATTTTCCCCAACTCCCAGCTCCTGGAAGCCATTCTACTCTCTGTTCCTTAGACTTTAGTTTTTATAAATTCATGTGCAAGAGGTATGACATGAAAATAAGTATGTTCTTTGTATTACTTATTAGCATCATGCCTTCCAAGTTCATCCATGTTGTAGAAAATAGCAGTGTTTACTGTCTTCTTGTAAGTAAGTAGTATTCCATTGTGAGTCTAACATATGAGCAACACACTCATACACAGGCACAAATATGTATCTAAAGTACTTTTATGCATTCAGTTATACATGAACACAGTTACTTCTTGAATAAAGAATCTTCATGGTTTCTTGCTGGTTGATTTCAAACATCTTTCTGACCTTCGTAATGGATGAGAAGCTCATGTGAATTGATTACCACTGAAACTCTAGCCTTTCTGGGAATAACTGAGGCATCCTCATTGACACTCCTGCCTTCTCATTTTTACTGGCTGTGATAATGGAAAATATTTTGAGTGCATTGTTACATGTCTCTGATTTGGTCCCCAAATAAAAGTTGTTTGTTCAGAAGAGGAAATAAAAAGAAATTGTACATTTTTTCTAGACAGCGTGTTTCCTCTTTGTTTGTATATATTCTGTCAGGTTGAACATGCAATCATAGTAAAGCATTCAGTTTAATGGCATATTTTGGTTAAAAGCTTGCAATAAAAAAATTATTGTATTTTCCATAGGAGAATGGGCTTGTTATTTTATATAAGTTCAATTCTTTCCATCAGTGTCATTCACTGATTTTTGGGTATAAGATCAATACTTCTGAACTGACTAAATTCACTACATATGCATGGTCTTAAAGCCATATTGCTCCCCTCCTTTTTCTTTCATTTTTTTTTTGTTTTTAAGTTCTTTTACTTTAAAAATCATCCAACACCTTCTGTGGGGGCCAGAGAGAGAGCACAGAAGTTAAGGTACATGCTTTGGTCCTCTGAGCATCCCTCTGTGCTGGCACATCCCTGCCCCTTCATCCCCTGAACACCACAGCAGCTTCCTAAGGGCCTATGCAGTGAACCACTGCCAAAATCACCAGGAGGAACATTTGGGTAAAGAAGTAATGGAAGAAGAGAAGTGAAACCTACCTTTTCTTCTGGTTTTACAGGTGGGAGTACAGTGTTGTATTCAGATGATTTGGGTACAAATTCAAGTACAAATTTGGGTACATCACTTGACCAACTGTGGAGTCTTGAGCAAATTTTTCAAGGACCAGATCATAAAAATAAATCCACGTGAACCAGGGTTGTTTTTAGGTGTTTTGCTCTCAGAATATTTTTTATGGGAAAGGAAATTAGCAACAGAAGGGAAATGCTCCCCAATATTAATTGATGGTTTTTCAAGAAAAAAAAAACTGGAGATTCAGAGATTTATATAGAAATTGACCCAGGAACCAGATGCTGAAGCTTAACTTCAATTGATCACTAGAAAGTTTCTAACAAACTCCAGCTGTTTTCCTGTACTGCTGATTCTCTTTAGTTGATAATGGGGTATGCACCATTCATTGACTTGAAAATACACATTTCCACTCCATCTCTTTTTGGGGATCAGTTTCCTTTTTTATTATAGAGCTTGTATGCCTACAAAAGTTATGCTACTTCATTTATTAATCAAGCATTCTAGATTGACAACAGAGATTTTTGTTTTACTAACTCTATAGAAATCTAGAAACTGAAATGAGCATTTGAAATTCAGGTAGGGGGAACCAGATCAGAATAAAATCTATTACAACTAGACTGATGAAAACTCTTTGGGTTTTTTCTAAAGATTTAAGCATTATTGTATGGAGAAAGCTGGAAATTTAATTTTGAAGTTAAAACATTAGGTTTTCATTTCCATTTTTCCCTCCAGATGTTTGTTAATTTTTTAACTTTTAAGTCATTTGTAATTTTACACTTGCTTTGTTTAAACTGAAATATAATTTTGATGTTTAGAAAAGAATAGCCAATAATGCATATTGCAGATAATTGTAACTTTTTACTGGAGGCAGAGGAAAAGAAATTACTTTGATATAACATCAAAAACTATCTGCTAATGGAGTGTGTGAAGGCAAATCCATTTTTCCTTGGAAACTTACAATAACATGCTGTAAAGAACAAGTGATATTGCCTCTAAAACACATTGGTTTTGGATATGTGGTCTGTAATTAAAATATACATTTTTGATGAATAAAATGTGTTCAAAATGGGTAAATAATGTTTTCTGCAACTATCTCCTCCTTTGCAATATTTTAGAAAGTGGACTACTTTCTAAATATGAAAAGAACTCCATGGGGAACAGCGACTTAGGTTTTATTTTATTATTTTATTTTTAATATCTCATTTTAAAATTCACTAAAATGATTATATTTGAAGATTATAAATTTCAGATCAAATGTGAAAACATTAATAAGTAATTCTCAGAAGGAAAAAAATTAGGTTTACCTATTTACATTTGATTCAAAATTACTTTCTTTTTTGAGTACTAAAATGATATTATTAATTATCCTATTAAATTAAGTCTTTGCTCCTCTTCATCTTTCAGTTCGGTTTGGCATGGTCAACTTCTCTTCTATCAGATCCCGAGGGTCAGGATTATAAAGACATTGATCTTGGGGTTTGCCACTTACATGACACTGGATGGTACCACAGTGGCTGTGTGGTTTGTAATCAAGAGGACATTTTCCCCCAATTGTGGCTCATTGTAAAATTATAGACAGAAGCAAATTCATTTAAATGCCCTGCTTCTCTCTACAAAATAATGAACTCAATAGAATTCTGGCCAAAACAGATGTCCAATTTCACTCACAAAAAAAGAAAAGATAGGTAAAATGGAATTCAACGACCATTTTTTATGAAAGTAAAATTATTTAAAACTATCTATAACACCTTATACACATATACCTCCTTTTACCTAATCTGAATATTTGGGTTGGAGAAGATAGTACCTCGGGTAAAGTACTTGCCTTGCATACAGCTGATTGGAATTCAGTTTAGTTCCCTGGCTCCTGAGCACTGCCAAGAGTGATCCCTAAACACAAAGTTAGGGTTAAAACCTGAGCACCACCAAGTGTACACCCCCCAAACTGACTATTTATAGAGGGCAATAAATATTTCTTAAAAAATTGGCAATCCTGGTGTGTAGGAGAACTAGTTCAAATTTTAAGAGAATTTTTCTGTCCCACATTTAAGGGCAGAGTCAGTTTTTCATTTTATGTTTTTAGAATTAAGGAATATTTTATTCTAACTTTTATACTTGACACAAGTACCTCAATTCTGGCAAATGGATTTAATTGCACCTGCTATTGACTGGGAACAGGAGGAGGACATCTATAATATGTTTCTGTAATTTGAGTACCTTTGGGCAGGCTCTTTTATTTATGCATGCCTTTTCTCTCATTTAAGTACCTGACTGGAATATTCTATCCTTTTCTAA